GGGGGGGGGGCGGGGAATAGTTAACAAAACCTAGTTTTATTTTTCTCTTTAGCTCATTAATGTAAAATAACCAAACCAACTCTTCTGAAATGTTACAAGGCAGCCAGCTCAAGGAAGCAAGTGGGCACTCACAGAAAGCTTCAGACCATACGGGTTTACATTCTGGCAAAGCTGGTCCTTATTTTCAGCTATAAAGCACAGGAAAGTGCTAGCAGCCTTAATTACAGAGGTCATTACCAGTTCCTATTGTAACAATATTAAAAACAGTATCCATAAACCAACTGAAGGCACTACTCATTACACAGCCGCTGTTTTCAAATATGCTCAATCCTCTTTTTCTCACTGCTTAAAATTCAAGGGCACTACTTTGTCTAGTTACAACTGACTAACATATTGGTAAACCTTACAGTATTGGTACCACTTAAAAAGTTGTTTACATCTGACTGGTGTTGATGGAGTAAGCACTGTGCTTAGTAACTGCTACCCCAGACCTCATGTGAGGGCCACATATGCACCTCTCGCCTATAAAAACCAAAAAGATTGTTTCTCAAGTTAGACCAAGGTGGACCAATGCCCTTTCTCAAGGGCTCCAGCAGAGAAAAACGTAATACAACTTATTTACACAAACGTGCAAGAAGGGCTGCCAATTTTTATGACCTAAAGTCAACCTGTCCAAGCCACCTCACCCTGCCAGGATGCCTGAAGCTCAGTAAGCAGCTCTTAACATCTCCTTCAACACTCCTCCTGCTCAACCAAAAGATACTGGCAAAGGATAACAGGAGCTTCTCAAGAACATCTATGTCTTCATTTTCAACCTTTTAGCCTTCCTCCCATGGTGGACGGAGAACTGGCTGTGGCTCTGCCTCCTGCCACCTACACCAGACTGGCTTGAAGCAAATCAGCAGCGGTTTGCAGCCTCCCTCTGGCTTGTGTAGCTCCACTGAGTAACAGCCTTTCCTTCCCTTACGTGACTAAATATAGAATCATAGAATCATTTTGGTTGGAAAAGACCTTTAAGATCATCAAGTCCAACTGTTAATCTAACCCTGCCATCCCACCACTAAACCATGTCCCTAAGCACCTCGTGTACCCGTCTCTTAAATACCTCCAGGGATGGGGACTCCACCACTTCCCTGGGCAGCCTGTTCCAATTCTTAACAACTGTTTTGGTGAAGAAATTTTTCCTAATGTCCAACGTAAACCTGCCCTGGTGCAACTTGAGACCATTTCCCCTTGACCTATTGCCCATTACCAGGGAGAAGAGACCAACACCCACCTCACTACAACCTTCTTAGGTAGTTGTAGAGGGCGATAAGGTCTCCCCTCAGCCTCCTTTTCTCCAGACTAAACAACGCCAGTTCCCTCAGGAACTTTGCTTTGCTTCATATGGCTGGAGTCATTCACATTTCTCAAAGAACCTTGCAACTGGGTTCTTAAGAAGAAACCACCTTCCTCTGCAAAATCCCTTGCACGTGCACCCCTGCACTGGTGGAGGCACACAGGCACACTTTAGCTTTACACTAAGCAAAATCTCCATTTGGGTCACAACTGCCCTGAAATCAGGCCTGTGCACAAGACCTTCATGAAGCAGCAGGCTGGCCCTGGTCACCACGGCCTTTCCCCTGTCACGCCAGCAGACCTAGATCCCCACTAACCACCCCATCGCTGGTACGTGCAGCGACCAAGCGCCATCGCTTGGCGTGGCACTGACGGACTTCTCCTCCTCCTCCTCCTCCCTTCCGCAGGCACCCACAGTCCGCAGGGCTGAGAAAATGGCGCTGGGACCACAAATTGCAGGTCTGCCTCCGCAGATGTCTTTCTGCCTTCGCCTCTTTTAACGAGGTCATGCCAAGAGAAAAAGATATTAAAAGGGAATGGGACAAAACCAGAAACTCCCACTGGCTCTAATGGAAGTTAAAGTCTCCTTCCTCCCTTGTGTATGCCTGGGGGGAGGGGGATCAGGGTTTTAGCTTTTGAAGTTTGCTAATTTTTTAAGTCATTTGGATTAATCAGTATTGAGCTGAGAAACTACTATACAGTAATTGTCTACATACACTCAAAGAAATGATCCTCTCCCTTAACTCTAACTTCGTATGAACCTCTCAGAGTTTGCAGTATGTTTGAAAGGAAACAGTCATCAGTTAAGCGTCCTAATCAAAACTTGGTAATTAACTAAACAACAAAGGACCCCAGATTTCAGCGCGTCCCCACTCTCTTTGCAAAAGGATTCCAGCCCTTGTTAAAGCAGTTATACCTGCAGATTGGGTGCATAATGGGAGTTTGCTCCCCGAGGGAATGTCACTGCCTTCACTCAAGACATGCAAACTAAGGCTTATGTCAGCAACATTAAAATGCAGCCTCTTTAGAATAAATCCTTTAAAAGAGCTATCCATATCCAGAGGCAAAGGAAGTCACCAGAGAAAGTATCTGAATATTCATATGGCTCATGCCTAAATGTAACATAAGTGTATGTACGTGCATTGAATAGACCATATATTTACTTACACGGACACACACACACAAAGTTCACAGAAGTGAAGTCAGGCACCAAAAGCTAGGAAATGTCAATGTCGAATTTACCCACCCTGGTTCTCCTGTGCACACAACGAAGCAGGGTTTGCATGGAAAATAATTTTATCATGTAATTGCAAGGCTCTACATCTGCAGAACTATTTTTTTTTAAAAGATTCTTATCCAATACCCTGCCCCCTTCATTTTTTTTTTAAATTGTTCCACCCCAGAAAAAAAAAAAAAAAAAAAAAAATCCACATATGGTGACAACCCCTCAAAACTGAGTGGGGTTGCGGGCAGGGGGAGGGAAAAGAAAAGTGTGAATCACAAAAAAAAAAAAAAAAAAAAAAAAAAAAAAAGTAAGCAGTAAATGCTTTGTCTGTACTGTTTGCAATATTTACTGAAAATTCACATTTAAGGAGGGGCTAGATTCTCAAAAAGGTGTCTCTTGCAGCTAACGCATTTGGGATGTGAAGGACTAAGGGTGCCAAAAAGCAATACTTCAGCAAATTAATTCCTGGAAGGGAGTTAATCACTAAAGCATAGGTTGGAATGGTAAGTGTATTATTAACTAGTTTTTCAGGACTTTTCAGAACAGTATTATAAGGAGAGACGGCAAGCACTCAGTATTTTATACAGTTTCTCCTTAAAGATCACTGCGCTCAGCACAAATGCTCTCTGACAGAGAAGGAAAATTAACTTGGGTTTCACACAACCTGGAGACAAACTTCAACTAGCAAACAAAACGTGACAATACATTAAAAAGGTCTCAGAATAACATTTGATACAGAAAGGATTCCTGGACAAAGCATTTTTAGGTCTTATATTTTATTCAGTAAGCCAAAGACATTTTCACTGATAGGAAGACCGTTTTAACTTAATTGAATAGGATTTTGCTGGAATCTCAAATTATTTCCATACTACTATTCCAAATTTCAATTCCCTGACGCTAGGACACTGAGGTGCCAGGACATCTCAGTGCACTAAGGGAAATGCATTTAATCTGTGCATCTGCCACACTAACAATCATCACGTGCAGGGAATACGGATATCAGCTTTGAAAAGTTTTAAACCATGTAATGTTTGCAAAAATATAAGCAACTGGAAACAAGGCTGCCAGTTTGGTTCTATCTGTAACGACACTGTACCATCTAAGTCAGATCAAAAGCCCTAGGTCTCATCTTATTGTTCCTTACGGAGCAGCTGTAACAGCTATATTTCCTGTCACAAGATATAAATTCTAATCCCTATTCCAAAACAGGAATTGTGATTAAATCACCTAAACAACTTCCCAAGTCCTAGCCTCTATTTTAAATGAAGAATAATAGAAGATACTTTCGCCTACCGTTTACAAAGTTATCAGTATTTTCACCAACCAGTAAACAACATAGGAAACATTTAAAAGAATTGCCTTATCAGGTTTTCAAGACAGAACAGTCTCTGTGATTTGCTCACACGGAGCAAGAGCAGCAAAATTTTATTTAACAGTTCTCTAAAAGCTGATGCTAGCGCCTACTCACCTTTCATACTCTCTCCCCTCTCCCCAGTTTTGGATGCTGTATTTGTTTCCACACACCTAACTATAAAATATTTAACGAAATAAAAGCCCTGTAGGTCAACACTGAAGTTTATTACACAAGTTCACCTCAAAACTCCTTCTCCAGCAGCAATCCTGTATCCGATTCTCTGTAACCTATTTTCTTTTCCAGTGGCCCCGATGGATCCAGATTCCTGTCTCCAGTTTTGGGAAGGTTATATTAAAATTTATTTTCAATCCTGTACTTCCACAGGAATGCTATCTGAGAAATGGGTTACATGCAGGAAAATGCTGTACAATACAGCTGCTGATAAAGCAGCTAAATCTTCTGCTGCATTACAGAAGATATAGTTAACCCCCATAATCCTGAATACAGTTGATCTTGACGCAGTTACGTGACATCTGAAATATATCGAAAGCCAAGTAACAGTCGTATGTGGGAATAACGTAACTATGACTACCTCTAAAGTGGTCAACTGAAAACTAAAAACCACAATAAATTATGTTTAAAATGAGCTTACTTTAACAAGTTTAAAGGACTAGTAGAGGTCATATGTAAATTCAAGCAAAGAAGCAAAACAAAGACTACAAGGAAGAAACAGGACACTTGTAAGGAAACAATATTCTCTTCCATACATATTTTTTTTTTCAAATGCATAATTTATTTTTAAATTCATAACTTACAATTATCTTCCACATCCTTTTTGCTGTCCTCTTCTGCAGGAAACACTTGATTGATAGCAGCCTGGAAAGTCTGTTAGATGAAAAATATTAACATTATCAGAATTCCATAAAAATAGAAATATAGTTCAAAGATGTCTGATGTGACAATACAAGTGAGTGCGCTGCAATCGTGCACGGTTTAAAATGAAGCTGCCAGCTTTATACTTCAGCACTGGAAATTTTACTGAGTTACTAGATGCAGATAGGAGCTGCTGCATTTACATTACTATACTACATTATAAAAATGCAGTCACAGCAATATATATTTTTATTGCAATAATATTTGATGTTCATTTCCAAAATTGCATGAAATACTGTAATACCGTGTAATACAAAAAAATAAGGATTAAAAAAAAATACTGCAAAAGGAACAGCACAGTAAAGGACACACAACTTCCTCAGTTTTGCAAAGAAGCACAAAGAATAAAAATCAAATTATTAGTTCAGTCAAAGGACTGTGCTGTCATTATCACACGCTGTTTTGAAACATTCCTACTTAAAATAGAAATGTTCAGTAAATAATATCCTCTCTATCCCCAAATACTGTAGCTTCAGTTGTTGCTTTTTGGGTTTTTTCTTCAATAAATCAATACTAAAGTAAAACAAGACCTTCCTTCAACCCTTCTACTCCAGTTATACAAAACAGCCATTTATCAAGTGCTCATGTCCAACTGGAAAAATTCATAACAAAAGCAACATTGTCTCTTTTTTATTCTCCAGAAATCATAATTTATATTGTTGTAAAAAGGAAGGAAAAACATCCTAACACAGACACACTACAGCATCTGCACAAAAATACCTATTGTAAGAGGTAGGCTTTTAATTATACTTTTTTGTTCACCATTGTAATAGCTTGTTTGAGATACCTATGAATGAACAACGACCCTGTTGCACCAATTAAACGCGGTAGCTGCTGCAGGCACAGTCTCCTTTTCCCCATGGAAATGGAGACAAGAAGTCTAGTCTAATATTTGAAAAGGCAACCAACTGGATCTAAAGAACGACCTCAATAAACAAACATGTTTGCTTGTTTAACATTGTACTCAGCAAGATCGTCCCATGAGAAACATCTCAACACGGAAGTTCAGGAGGAATACAACAGCTTGCTCCATCTCTGCTTCAGTACAACAGACACAACATGTGAGCTCTTGTAGCTTACGCCATCATGAACAGCCACAAATTCCAACTCCCTTTGAAGTGGGAAGAATTAAAAATGTCTTGGAGCAGAACTAATTGCTGCCAGTCAGAAAACGGTAAGTCTACAATATCCCTTCCCTACAAAGTTATCATAAAGTATGCAATTTGTAGTCATAATAAATTACATATTGTCAGCCCCTAATGACCTAATGCAGAAAAATATGCACAAAAAGCTTTCCTAAGGGAAACTGAGCTGCTTGATAATGTTGGAACATCTGGAAGTCCATCCTCCTCCAAGATATCCTTTATCAGAGCTGGTGGAGCCATGAAGGACCTGAACGTCTTTACCTACCTCAGAAAGCTGCCAGCAGCTATTCAGAGTTTTAGCAGGGCAGAGATTCTCCCCCCTTTCCTCCCTCTCACAATACTGCAGTTAGAACATATTATCCTAACAATTTTCTCTGCAAGTTTGTCAATGATAAAGGTATAGGTCATTGGGTAAAGATGTATTTGAACACAACAGTTTCTCAAATAATCAGTTCACTGTGCACGAAACAGTGGAAAAGTTTAAAAAGAGCATGACTAACCTCACTTCTTGTTCTTGTCTGCTGATGTGTAACCCAAGTTTAACCACTAACAGAATTTTTTTTTCACAGGCGAGAATGAACACGATACCCAGCTATTCTGTAAGACTCTTCACAAATCTGATGCTTTAACATTTCATGGATCTGAAGCCAGCCATACCCAGATCTATCCCAGAAGAGGAAGGAAGAGCTTTTTCAATGTCCTCGCCACTCAGCCTTCTGATCCAAGATAAATTTCAATTTAAAAAAAATGAGAATTCATGCTGTATTATGTCCTCTTTCATTTTTTTGACTGAATGTGAATTGTGAATTAATTTCTAAAATATTTCAGAAGTGATAAAACAAATAAGCAATATGAAGAAGACTTATCTGAAAGCTGCTGTTTTTCTGCTGGACTTTTTTAGATCAGAACACTAAGCCTAGTTTCAACTACGTCAACGAAGAATTTCACTCCTGCATGTCACAGCTGGAATACTGCTTTATATAAGGTGTCTACTTGTTTTGTAGGTAAGTACATTAGCTAGATGTTCAGAGCTCTGAGTATTGCCAATTACTATTAAAGACTAATATATTAAACAGGCAAATGGGCAAGGTATCTCAGGTCTATCAATTAAAAAAAATACCCAAAGAATTCTTTACTATGTTGTGCCATTATCTTTTTTTAAACATTCTTTGTAAGGAGAAAACACTTTAGGCACCTGATGGAAGTCTTTTGCATTAAGACACAGCTTAGGGCAAACTTGTTCTAAGGAAGTGGAGAGGGTATGAATCATATGAGACACTAAAGTGGTCTCAGGAGGCAAAACAGAGGATTTAGAGGGTTTTGTGAGGGTTTCGTAGGGGCTCCCTCCCCCCGCTCTTTGTAATGAAGCAGCCCTTGAGATTCAATGGCAATCTTAACTATTCTCCCAGAAACTAGATGAGTGAAAAAAGATATCTTTCCATTCAGGCAGGATCTTCTTTCTACCATGTAATGCAATACATGTAACCATGCCTTCCTTTATACCTTCCAGATACAGACAGAAGACATCCCTACTCTCAGCTGTATTTCACAAACCAACCGAAAGCAGTACAAACGGAGCACAAGACAGACAAGAACACAGCTCATGCACGCAAGCAAGCTGTGCTCACTCTAAGAAAAACCCTTAGCTTGAAACACTGAACTTTGGACGTTCTGATCCTTACTCTCAAAGTACATTTATTCATTTATACTTAGCCCAGGAAAATACCTTTCTAGTTATTCACAGCATACCAGAGCAGGTGCCCCAAAAGCCCTCCATGACCCTTCAGAACTGGCATAGAGCTCTCAGCTGATGGCTGGAGGGGTGTCAGTGAGTGCCAGCAGCACCGCACGCCTTCCCAACAACCGCCAGAAACTCACTACAGGCAACACTCTAGGAAACGCCTGTCCCCCCCACGCCTCAGTGCCACGAGGGTCCCAGGATGGCATCTCGGGGTGCAAGCCCCTCCGAGGCATCTCTTCTTAATTGCTTTACTTAGATTTGCTACCTCCAGGAAAAGAGCAAATTCCCCGCTTGGCAATTTCACCCTCATCTGCCTTTTCCCTGTTACAGCATCAAGCAACACAACGAAGTAAGATACACGCAACAGGATCTGAGGTTAGGACTCCCAGTAAGTTCAGAAAAGTACACTCCAAGTAGAAGTGTAAACACAACACTAGTTGAGTTTATCAACTGGCTGCCTTTCTACCCGCCTCCTTCCTTGTACACCTGGTGGGACACGGGCCAGGGCTCCCAGCTCCAGACCCCACTCCAGTTTGGTGCCCATCCTCAGGGCAGCGCTCCACCCCTAGTTGGGACCACGCTCATTAGCAAACCCCTCTCCAGTTTCTCTGTTTTCTTTCCAGTCATGGCATTTATCAGGCTTGCAAGCCAATGATCAAGATTTTGGGCAGTGGCACCCTCTCAGCTCTGCTCGCTGAGCTGTAAGTAACACATACATCCTCTGTTTCGATAAGACGCTCCTGCAGCTTGGATTACTCTTTCTCCTACAACGCAAGCTAGGTGACTCACATCCCCACCTCTCTTGAGACACCCAGCCTCCACACAGAAATGTAAATACCATTGTTAATTCTGCACAGGTTGCAGTACCCAAAACTGCTACTGCTGGTTTGTAAGTAAATCAGCATGTTGGTCAACTTCACCCAGTTGGACTGGGTAACTTGGTTTCATAATACAAAGCAATCTATGGCCATGCTGGCCTCAGGTCCTCATCCTCCTGCCACTGCTTGCTGCCGTCTTGGAAACTTTCCACTTCTTCATTCTTTAAGGCGGACCCGTTCTCTGACCTCGTTTGCCGTGTCACGCACAGCTCAGCGAGCAGAGCTGAGAGGGTGCCACTCTGCAACGCCAGATCCAGCTACGGGTGGGGAAGGGAAGGAAGATTTTGAGACTGCTGCCTCACAGCATTTATTGCAGTTATTAACAACCTATTTTAGTTAACCATTAAGTAGTATACAAGGCAATAATCAAACATATGCATACACACTTCCTTTTCAGCCTGTGATCTCTGGTAAGCTACCAGCGCCTACAGAGAATACATATGACATGGTAATGACCCAGATTAAAAAATAATAATAAGTTACACTGCCCGGATATGTTTACAAGATCAGGTTACTCCTCTCCTCCCTGTAATTATCATGGGCAACTCTGGAGCTGCTGGATCACTCCTTCTTACTAAAGAGCACTTTTGAACTATCATTTTAAATAAACAGAGTCGGTAATAACGGGTATTAATGCTGACTACTTCAAATTAATGGTCTAAGTGCACAAGAACAGAGTCTGCTTAAAAAGACAAAAAGCAATGAGAAACATTTCACTATAAAAAGAAATCAGTGACACCTTCAAAAGACTGAGAAGGTAATCAAGAAAATGCTTTACTCCACCTCTATTAATACAAGAAAGTTTGATAATTAGAAATATAGGACCATAATCTTTACAGTATTTAAACTGTGAAGCGTTTGTTCCCTTAGCTGAATGAACATTAGGCCCTTAATTGATCTGCTTAATTCAAGAAAACAGCCAATGGCAGAATAACAAACTTTCTAGACAAAAGAGATTGTTCATTGTGAACCATGAAGCAAAATATTTGTATTTTAGGATCATTTTTGGGTTTCACACACACACAAAAAATTATATATGCTCCCTGTGAAAGGAGCAAATGTTAGAAATAAATAGTGACTCTGGACTCTCCTTATTGCCTGTTTCTGTTTCAATATACAGACTTTTGCTCTTTATCACATTAGAACCATCTGAGGATATAAACAGAAATAGTGATGGAGGTCAAAAATCTTTTAAGTCAGTTAAAGACTACTTAGTCACAGTTTTGGAATATTTAATATCCTTGTCTGAATAATTTTCTCTTCCCCAGACCGAAGAACACATACTACTACCACCACTAAACCTACAGACTTTATCTCTCACGCACAAAAACCAGGCGTTACCCTCGCTTTATATTTCTAAGGAAAGCAAAATCAACTTCCCCTCCAAGATGCAGGAAAAAGAAAGCCTATAAATATTCCCCCCAAAAGGAAGAACTGCTGCATAACCTTTTGACCTGTGGCAAGGCATTCTCTATTAGTGTTGAGATCAAAAAGGAAGTTACACAAAAAAAAAAAAAAAAAAAAAAAAAAAAAAGAGTGTCTTTTCCATACCTGAAGATACAGAAAAGACAAATTTGTTAGAAAGGGCACATACCGTATATTCACAAAGACCAAAATCATAACTTTTAAAACACTGTCTGATCTTATTCCAGCTGGGAAAAAACAGGATGCTGACCATCTGAATTTGGATAATTGATAGATACAAGGTACTTTCTGTAAAAAAATTACATTTAATTACAGCACACTGAATCTGGAAGATATCATGATAAATGAAGCAGTTGGCACACACTAACCAGGGTGAATTAGGACTTCATTTTAAAAGTTACATTTATTTTGCCTTTAATTTGATGTAGCAATTCCATAGGACCTTTGTCTGACATCGTGTTCCTTCTCAAGGTACTTGGGGTAAGAGGATTCATCTCTCAATCTTCATCAGTCTAACAGTAAGGTGTCTAATCTAAGCCAGAGTCTAGGACACCCCCGTAGAACACTCTCTCTATGCATTTAAGGGAAAAGAGAGAAGCTGATCTCAACAGTAGACTCTTAACCAGTCTCTAATTTAGAAAAATAAAGTATACAGTAGTGAATCAAATGGCTACAGAGATTCAATCCTTCTGTCTTTCACAAGTATGTACACACATGCAGATAGATAACTGACAGAAAGCAAGCACTTCTTATCAGTGGGATACTTCATTTGCTGTGCAAGCTAAAGCTGAACAAAGATCTTCAGCCAGAGAAAACCGGTTTCCCAGTCCTTCAGGTTGTGTGTAATGGTAGACATTGGTTAAGATCTGGCCTACAGGCAAAATAGTTTTTGTAAGGTTTTCCTCCATTCCTTTGCTTGTTAGACACTTACCTTGCCTTTCTGGTTCAAAGGTTCAATAGTTAAGTTGTCAGTGCCAATGTCCACAATCATCCCCATCTGAAACCCATCAGTTGGGTGTGGAGCCCAAACGGGCTTCCCATCCTCCATCATGGGATCTATCCAGTATTTCCTGCAACAAAAATAAAATAAAAGTGAAACAACAAAAAAAAATTTATACAAATTTAGTAAGGTATCAGGATTCACTACACGGACTGTAGTGTATTGTGTTTATTCCTGGTGGCAGTAGCCTGCCTGTCAGGACAAGGTTCTTCCAGCCTTTTTCCAACCCATAACACTTCGCTTACAGAGAACCCCCTCAGACCAGGGTATGGAATGTGCCCACCCTTTTCACATGGCTGGGCATATGGCTTTTAAATAACCCACAAATATATTCGGTCACAATTGATTTATCATAGAACAAGCTTATGAGAGACTGGCCTCTACTACATTATAACAGTGCCTCCTAAGGAACACTGAGCTTACTTTTTATAAAAACATGATGTGAAAACCATTTTACAGGAATCTGCAGTCTACAAGTGAAATAGATGCAAAGACCAAGACGTTCAAACCTTCGGCTCCTCAAGTTATGCAGCTAAATAAGCTCCCAATTAAAAGAAGTATTTGATTGCATGCAATGCTCATTGAACTAACCAGGAAAGTTGCCAGGATTGGCACACTCTGAATGGCTGACGGTGCCATTTTAAATATACTGAATCAGAACTTAAAAAAAAAAAAAAAAAAAAAAAAAAGGAAAAGAAATCTACTTTATAGTCCTTACCCTAACAAGAATAGGGAGTCCACACAGATTGAAAGGCTCACTTCTCCTGGCCATTTCTTACTCCCCTCCAAAACTCATTCACATCTTAAACTGACATGTTTTAGTGATTCCTAAATTTGTAAAAAGTATCTCCTGTCACCAAGGTGTAACTCGCCTCTCGCAGCATGAATGAAATGAGCCTGCCAAGCAGCAAAGAAAACGCCAGCAGCAAACTCCAAGAGTCTGTAAGCTAGGAAACGTCCCACATTTTTCTTTTCCCACATCTGAAGGAAAAAGGAGGTCCAAAATCTCTCACAACTGGAGAAGGCTGCAAACCCCTTTGCCATAAGCAGCAGCAAGGAAGAAGAGTCATCGTCCCATCAGAAAGTTGTACAACCTCGAGTAGAAATGGACAGTCTTGTCCCACGGAGGATTTGTGCTGCACGTGACCTGCTTTTTGCTGCATCCAACTTTACAAAAGTTTGAAGAGAAGGAAAAGGCTTGCTGTGACCACTTTGAGAATGCTGTTGGTCTTAACGTCTTACTTTTCAAGGAATAAGAAAATTTCCTGTTAAATTTAATGTGAAACAAGAGAAGATAAAACTAATTCTAAAGCAAAGACTTGGAATGCAAAGTCAAGTATTTTTTAAATGAAGTAATGTTCTGAAGAGACAGAAAAAAACTAGCTACAGAGTTCTTAAAATTGGTGCTGATATCTGGGTTTGTGTCTAAATTTACTCAGTTAGTCAGGTTTTTCTCCCTGAATGCAGCTCAGGATGCAAGAAACTCATGAAGATTTTAACAAATATTTCTAGTGTATCCTACTCACACAATTCATGTTATTTAAAACATTGCATTTAATAGAGTAAAACATGCGGTTTACTTTTCCCTCCATGAATGGAGCATATAAACTGCTTTCAACTACTCACAGAAGTTGACGTTCCAAAACCTCGAGTATCACATTCACTCCTATTTACGTCAAAACTTTTGCCACATCCCATGAACTCTACAAAACACCATCTTCTTCATCGTATGTTGCCAGCATTGTACAATAAATCCTGTAAAACAACATCTGTATTCACTCACAGTTGGCTGTTGGCCATTTTTTTCTTTAGTTTAAGATACTGTAAATCAGATCTAGTATACACAGAGTTTTAGGACTTTTTTTTTTTCCCCTTTTCAGCCAGATTTGACCTCTGAGTACAACTGCCCATCACGGGCATAGTTGCTAAACAGCTGAGTTTATTTCTGGATATAACCAGGCTTTCATTTCTTCACAAGACTATAATTTGCTTTTAAAATGCTAGTTCAAATTAGTACCTAAGTGATATGTCACACAACCACTAAAAACAAAGCTCCTTTTACATCCCAAGTAGCGTGGCCAGTAGCTATAGTCCACAGCTCTGGAAAGAACCATGTCGCACAAGAAACAAACCCTGAAATTACTGCCAAAATTTCCGCCAAAAGTTAGAATCCAACCTTCCCAATCAGCATCCAGAGGCTTCTGCTTCGCTCATTAACACAGGCTTTTGCATTCTTACATATTCTTAAGCCTAATTCATGCTTTATTAATAAATTATGATAGGGAAGCGTCACAAAAATCTTCTTGAAGGACAGAGCAGTGATTGAATTCAGCCACCACCAGGAAACGCACGTTTAAGAAAAATACCTGAGGCTTTGCAAGCATCTAAGAAGCCATTAGGTGAAAGCATCTAAATACAAGTGTAGTAGTTATTCACGGGACAATTACTTTTAATAAATACAGTCTTCCGCCGGAGAAGCAACACAAAACCAGTTGTAACATTTTGGATTTGGCACCACTCCACCTCTGTCAGCTGGGACTCTGACAGACAGCACATTAAAATTGGATACCAAACCCAATCAGGTCATGCCCGCTCCATTCTCCAGTGGATGTACATGCCATTACCCTTGAGACAGATGCACAGTCTATTCCTGAACCAGTTTCCAGCCCAGCATTTTAAGGTGAACAGAAACAAAAAAAGTTCAGCTGCCTGATACAAATTCTTTAGAAAAAGAAAACAGCACTTTTTTAAAACATGAAACTATGCTTTACTGATTACACCATACATATCATAGAGTACAAACAGGGAAAAATATAGATTTGGATGGAGAACCTTCAAATCATATTTTCTCTATAAAAATACACCTGCAGTCTGGTTACAGATCGTTCATTAATAGCTATCAATGGCAACAAACTTTTTTTTCCCCATGTGCATCCATCTCAATCCAATCTACATGCAGCCAACTTCATTACATTCCTGAAAGAGCACACCGTGTCTGAAAACTGTGAAAGCAAATAGACTCATATCCGGGCTAGAAGCACTAAGGCAACAAATTTGAGAGCAATGCCAACAAACACGAAGTGTCACCTGAGTGATGCTTCCAAACCAAGGCAGTCAAAATGAGCCATCTTCCACATCTCTATACATGTACTCACATATATTAAGGATTAAAAGGAGTTGATTATAAGTTGCCAGGTCATTTTGGTCTCCACAATTAAGGCTTCTTCCAGTACTAAGGAGAGAATTCACAAAGGTTACGCTTATGACTGGGAAGCCAGCCACCCGTTTCTCTCTACAGTCTGAGAAAAGGAGACCAGGAACCCCATACCCGAGTTCGTCTCTCCGCTGAGCAGGAGAGGGACAGTCATAAAACATGCCTTTCTCTGAAGCTGGTAAACTTAATAGCTATTCCTTCAAATGTCAGATTTTATATTTTCATAATTGGCAAGCAGTAATAGACCTTGCCTTAATTATCAGTAATAGAACTCAACACATTCAGCACTAGCTAAATACTAGTAGCCGGCAGTCTGAACAACTTGCAAGACAAAACTATACTGCACTCCACAGATTACAACAGCAACAAAAACACCCACCAGCTCTTCTTTTTTGTGCATGTGTTATTATTCCCTCTTTTGAAGAATGTTTAATGATATTGTTTCTCAAAAAAAAAAAAAACCTACATAACACATTGAGCATATGAAACAACTAAAAATTCCTCAGTCAAAAGTTGGTACATTATCCTCCCACTTATCTTTACTTAAATATTATTGATTTTAAAAGAATGTAATACAACTACATTTTGGGTTTGTAGGCTATTCAAAAGGAAATCAAATAGTACCATCAGGTGAAAGAATTCATAGAATCACAGAATTCTAGGAAGGCAAAATACAGTAATGCAATTTTAAACTTATCAAAGCCCACAGGTAGGCATTTGCATGGTATGATTCTATTCACTATCCTATGAACAGTTTGTTACACCAAGGCACTGTACTGATTGCTGAATCAACTAACAAAAACAAATGAAAAATTAACTTCATTGAACAACTGATGGTACCTTATTAGGTTGGCTAAATCCAAGGAAAATAAACGAGTCAGAATAGGTATAGTAGCAAATCATCATAGTAAAAGTAGAATTACATAGGTTATTTTACATTAAAAAACCCCTACTACTTGTGGATTTAAGAGCTGCTCGAAATTCTGCAGGATACACTGGCCCCATGAGAATGCTTTGGGAAAGGTCCTGTGAACACACGGGACAAACCAGAGGAAAACACTGGTAACACAGCGGTAGCTTACTGTCAGTCATGTTATTTTTTTCAACCCTAGGTCACTGCTTAACTGAAACTTCAACAAATCAAAGCTTAGGCAGCACTGAGCCCTCTACTGCAAGTGACATAATATTTCAAAGGAACTGCAGATACAGTATAGAGATTTTTTTTTTTTTGAGCTAAATGAAATAGTCATAACTGCCTTGTTTAACTGAATATTAAACCCATCCAATTTTTATTTCTTATTTACTTTTTCAATTTACAGTAAAACTTCTCTGCACTAACAGTCTAGTTTAGGGATACCAAACCGCAGGTTTTTAATACCTATTTATGATGACCTCAGCAAGGTAACTGTGTCAAGCAGAGACTTCTGCCAAGCCAGAAAAGAAAATGGACTAGAATACAGCACAGCACAAAGGTATCTTCAAAACCAACTTGCCCTGAAAATGTTAATGCTGACATGGTAAATGCCAATACATTTTGTAGATGTATGCAAGTAAAACAAAGAGCAATAGCTCACACATCTGAGAACTTCTTTTAAAGCTACATGCTCTGACTGCCAAAGACAATTTGAACACAGCAGCTGATGAACTTGTTCTCATGGCATGTTCATTTTCTTGTATATTTGCATGCATCAACATGTTTTCACTACTGAGCAGATAGAAACCGACTTCTGTAGTACTTCCATAAGAGTCACTTTTGTGTTTGTATTCAGCATTCACATAGAAAATACCTACTCTGCTGTTCTGTTTACTACTCAAGACATTTAAAAAAAAAAAA